CTTTTGGGATCTTACAAAGCTTCAAACGATGCGTCGACTATTAAAACTATCAACGAATCGTGACTAGTCGACAAATCGTGGCAGCCCTACTTCAAGCTCAACTGCTAACCGTTTTTGCTGTTCTGTCTCTGTTTCTTCTCTCAGACAACATAGATGAGGCAGAACGTCAGTGGAAGGTGGAGTTTCACCGCTGGTCTTCCTACATGATGCACTGGAAGAGTCAGTTTGACCACTACAGCAAGCAGGAGCGCTGCACTGACCTCTGAGCGCCTCAGCGAGGAGACGACGGAGAGAAGAGCGGCGAGCGAGCCGTGGCTGTTTTCCTCCATAGTTCCTGAGTGAAGGCTGACATCTTTTTGTGGTTCTTTTGGTTCACAGCATACACAAGCAGAGGCACTGTTGTCATTTATTTATATTATTTATAATATTTATTGTTTTGTTTTTTTTATTTGTGTATGTGTGTCTGTGGAACTTAAGGGCTGTGGAGTAAAACTTGTCATTGGAGGAGTAAAGATGCGTCATTACCTCGAATGTGTGTGCGTAACTATGTGTGCGTCTCAGAAACCGCCCAGTTTGACTCAGATAACTTAACTGACCCGTCACACTGCTCCACTACGGATTTACTGTAACCTCACGCGTCTCTGTGGTCATCTCGTCACTTTTTTTGCTTTCTGGGGATTTCTTCTTTCCAACATATCCGTTGTATTTTTGGTCTCATCACTGTTTTGTTTCTCTTTTATTTATTTAGTTATTTTTATTAATACTGTTACAACCACTACTCCCATTACCTGTACTGGTCTTGCTTTGTTTGTGTGTTTCTCCTGTGGTAAGCCATATACTATTTTGCATTTATCTAACTGTTGCTGTGTGTGAAAACATCAGATTCCTCACATTTTACTCAATGTTAAAACTGCTGTATTCTAGTTTGATGTGAGATGTAGATAGTATATTACATCCAGACCAACTGACTGGTGCCTAACTCGCATTATATTACAAGTTCACTCAGTTTCACAGTTGAATGGAAACAGAAACGAGTCCCGTTGATGTTTATGGGTCCTCTTGAGCATCGCCTGTCTGTTGAAGCACGTCGGTGCTCAGTTCTTCTAAATGTTCAGCCTTCCTGTGAGGGTCGATTCTTCTGCACAACTGCACTGAATTGTGCATGTGTGCGTGGCCACTCAGTGTGCCACTCATGTGTGAGACAGTAAGCTCGATCTTTCTTTTCCTCCTTTTTTCTGTCACTCCTTCTGTTTGTCTTCCACCACAACAACCCTTCATCCAGTCCCTCTCTCTGCTTTCTGCCTCTCCACTCTAGTTGTCATCTTCATCTCTAATAAACCTCCACCCACCCTCATTTCTTTCTTACTCTTTTCCTTTATCCATTATTCCCGCCTCTCCCTTCCTGTTTCTCACTTTTATGTTAGGCCTTTTCCATTCCTCGTTTGTTTCCTTTCGCTCCCTCCTTTTAGTTATTCCTTATTCATCATCTGCCGTATCTGTCCCTCCTTCCTTGTCGGCTCTGTTACATCACTGCTCCCTCTCCCATCCCCCTTCCTTGGTGCTCCTGCTTTGTTGTTAGTCTAATGGAGGTAGAGTA